CAGGGAGGAGTTTTCGAAGTATACTCCGAAGTTGAAGATGGTACGAAGGAAAACAGTGGGTGGTGCAACACCTCTTGCTCCAACTAAGCATGTCGAAGAAAACAAATGGGACCACAACAAGGGTGAAGCGACTGATGTGGATAGTGCACAAGTAGGAGGAAGCGGTGAGGATATTGAAGGAAGCATGCGTTGTGGTCGTCAGGTGGGCAAGAACAGTGAAGGCAGACACATTGGAGGTCGTGAGTACAGGGAGCGACATGTGGAACAACAAGGTCGACAAGCATCATTGACAGAGTGCGAGGACCAGCAGCTGGAGCAAAACGAACCAAATACGGAAGAGGACGAATTAGAGGACGAGAACAACAGAGACAACGACGATTTTGGTGAACGTGAATCGAATGAAGATGAGGATGATGATAATGAAGAGATTCGTGAAGACGATGACGAGAATGACGCACACTGCAGGAATAAGAAAGCAATGGGTAAAACATTTTGTGAAATCCTGTGAAGTTGTTTGTAGCATCAAAAAAATATGAAAGAAAAAGAGAATAACATTCAAAATGATTCTCGTATATGCATTCTCGCTTACGATTTGTACGTTCTTAACGAACAACTAAAAGTCATCGTCATTATTATTGTATTCTAAATTTTTATTTCTTTCTTTGTCTGCTCGTCCTTTGTGTCTGTGCAGTTATGTGAGAACGCGAAAAACGGGTTGCGTCAGAGAAAAGCAAGGTCAACAACCGCATTAGTGACAACATCCACACGTTATATGCACACTCAAAAATAGTGAAGCAATTGATGCGTTGCGTAGCGAAGGCATTTTGTTTATCTGGAATCAAGGATGCAGAGATGTATCCGTCAGTCGACACGTATGTGGATGCCTTCATGGGTCTCACCGAACCTTTGGACCCGGATACACAATTCATCGTAGATCGGTCGATGAAGAGCACAACACCGACAACACTTCGCACACAGGGATCAAGGGAGTTGACGAAAATCAGAGGAGAGATTGCTTACGACATCGTCAAGGCTTTTTGGAGCGTCGCGGGGCTGCCTTATCCATGCGGAACTGTAAGAGATCGTTTTGAAAAATAGCGAGAGGAGATGAGGACGAAAATTGTCGAAGATTCATCATGGAGAGTGAGAGGCAAAGAGTCATGGGACGCAACAGAGTTTAAGAATGTCGTGTGAGACGTTTTATACAAAGATTGAAATAAAATAGGTCGAAATGGTTGCACTCTTCAACAACTCGCATTCGCTCATATGGTGCTAGTTTGTCACATCAGCAACAAAAGTCGGCCTGCATGCATGACAGCAGCAAGCAAGGAAATGCGAAGGATAGAAGAAGCCATCATGACAACTTGCAAGACCGGTATCGGAAAAGTGATTGTAAATGTAATCTCCCTCGATCGAGATAAAACCGTTGTGTAGAGTTCTAGGAATATTTGAGAATGACAATTTGCTGGCAGAAAGAATGCAAAAGATGAGGTCGTTCAAATGAAGAATGATCATAGATTTTTGGAATTTTTTGAAGATAGTGACGAGGTGATTGCTGAGAAGAGGCCTTAGAAGTTTCGTGACATCAGTATTTTATAATTTTGGTATAGTACTTTGTTTTGGTGTACAACAAGGTAGTGGTGAAGAGGTCGTGAGACTTGAATATGAAATCGTGGNGAGAGAGAGAGAGAGAGAGAGAGAGAGAGAGAGAGAGAGAGAGAGAGAGAGAGATGTCGTAAGGGTGGTCATGCTCCCAACACTTTTGCGGTGGTGTTTCTGATGGGAGCATGACCACCTTTACGACATCCATTCCTCCTCCCAGAGAGAGAGAGAGAGAGACAGAGAGAGAGAGAGAGATGTCGTAAGGGTGGTCATGCTCCCAACACTTTTGTGGTGGTGATTCTGATGGGAGCATGACCACCTTCACGACATTCATTCCTCCTTCCAGAGAGAGAGGGAGAGAGAGAGATGTCGTAAGGGTGGTCATGCTCGCAACACTTTTGCGGTGGTGATTGTGATGGGAGAATGACCACCTTTACGACGTCTATTCCTCTGCGCGCGCGCGCGCGCGCGAGAGAGAGAGAGAGAGAGAGAGAGAGAGAGAGAGAGAGAGAGAGAGAGAGAGAGAGAGAGAGATGTCGTAAAGGTTGTTATGCTCCCAACACTTGCGGTGGTGATTCTGATGGGAGCATGACCACCTTTAGCACATTTCTTCCTCCTCGCACAGAGAGAGAGAGAGAGAGAGAGAGAGAGAGAGAGAGAGAGAGAGAGAGAGAGAGATGTCGTAAGATTGATAAAAAGAGAGATGTGCGTTTGTGTGCGAACATAGGCAAATAGAAGCACATATTGTGAGGGAAAAAAATGCACACATTTGAAATCCTAATCTTCCAAAGCTATCATTATTTTTAATATATTGATAAAGTTTAAATTCTTTTGTTGAACTCTTTTCTAATCGGATTTAACGCAGGGAATTAAAAAGATTGTCGATGTCGTTGAAATCGATTGCTTCCGCGGAAGGAGATTTCGATATGTGGTTTTCACCTTTTCGTTATCCAATTTTAGACTTGAGGATGCTCATGGATGAAGAGTTTGCAAAATGGAAGGAGGATAGCGATTCGGTGCTTAGCAAATATGACCTTGTGACGCTTTTGGATCGGGCACGGACCTTGGTGGACGAGGGTCTGAAGAACGTCAACAAATATTACCATTCACTCCGAGTATGGGAGAAAGAGCGAGAGCGGTTAGAAGATGATATATGCTATATTAATGATCAAATGAAAGAGCGAAAAATACGTCTGAAGCGGTGGAAAAGGACGAGGTGGAAAAATACTTTAGAGCGAGTAGGTGTGGTGAAGGCGTTGGAGGTTGTTCATCAAGGAGGACATGGAGTACCATGTGTCCCTCCGAATACAAAGAAAAGATTTGGTGAGGGCACAATTTGTTCGAAGTCACCTTTGCGTGTACCTTTGAAATCATGCATTGATGATCCGTTTTGCATTTTGCAAAGCGTATGTCCAAACAACGATGAGTACACACAAGAAGACTTATGTGATGAGGAGATAGAAAGGAGGAGATACAGGGGCTTGCTCATGTACTCTATTGATGCGATCAAACATCTCAAGAATGAGTTCAAAATTGATAGACGCGGGACATCGGACCAAGTGCCTCCAGAGATTAATAAGCATAGGCATAATCTGGTAGATAGGAGTGATGAATTGATTGAAGCTTTGGTTCTTCACGCTGCACAATATGACGAGGGGGATAAGTGATTGAATTATGAGTATCGAATCCAAATAGGTATACAAAGGTCGCTGTCATGACAGTGTGCGATTCGCCGAGGCCCAGATGTGACAAGGACATCGATGCAGCAAAGGTTTTGCGTTCGCGAAGAAGAGGTGTCACGACGTCAGACGAATGTTGGTGCACGTCTCGTACAGGAACGAAACACAATTCGAGACATCACACAACATGCAAAATCTGAAGAAGTAAAGACTGTACGAACAAATACGGAGCCTTGGAGGACAAATTTGGTTGAAATGCACCGCGAGGCGAGCAAACGGAAATTACAAATGGAAGAAACGGAGAAAGGAGATAACGACATTGACATCCGGCGCAGGGAGGAGTTTTCGAAGTATACTCCGAAGTTGAAGATGGTACGAAGGAAAACAGTGGGTGGTGCAACACCTCTTGCTCCAACTAAGCATGTCGCAGAAAACAAACGGGACCACAACAAGGGTGAAGCGACTGATGTGGATAGTGTACAAGTAGGAGGAAGCGGTGAGGATATTGAAGGAAGCATGCGTTGTGGTCGCCAGGCGGGCAAGAACAGTGGAGGCAGACACATTGGAGGTCGTGAGTACAGGGAGCGACATGTGGAACAACAAGGTCGACAAGCATCATCGAGAGAGTGCGAGGACCAGCAGCTGGAGCAAAACGAACCAAATACGGAAGAGGACGAATCAGAGGATGAGAACAACAGAGATAGCGACGATTTTGGTGAACGTGTATCGAATGAAGATGAGGATGATGATAATGAAGAGATTCGTGAAGACGATGACGAGAATGACGCACACTGCAGGAATAAGAAAGCAATGGGTAAAAACTTTTTGTGAAATCCTGTGAAGTTGTTTGTAGCATCAAAAAAATATGGAAGAAAAATATAACATTCAAAATGATTCTCGTATATGCATTCTCGCTTACGATTTGTACGTTCTTAACGAACAATTAAAAGTCATCGTCATTATTATTGTATTCTAAATTTTCATTTCTCTCTTTGTCTGTTCGTCCTCTGTGTCTATGCAGTTATGCGAGAACGTGAAAAACGGGTTGTGTCAGAGAAAAGCAAGGTCAACAACCGCATTAGTGACAACATCCACACGTTATATGCGCACTCCAAAATAGTGAAGCAATTGATGCGTTGCGTAGCGAAGGCATTTTGTTTATCTGGAACCAAGGATGCAGAGATGTATCCATCAGTCGACACGTATGTGGATGCCTTCATGGGTCTCACCGAATCTTTGGATCCGGATACACAATTCATCGTAGATCGGTCGATGAAGAGCACAACACCGACAATATTTCGCACACAAGGATCAAGGGAGTTGACGAAAATCAGAGAAGAGATCGCTTACGACATCGTCAAGGCTTTTGGGAGCGTCGCGGGGCTGCCTTATCCATGCGGAACTGTAAGAGATCGTTTTGAAAAATAGCGAGAGGAGATGAGGACGAAAATTGTCGAAGATTCATCATGGAGAGTGAGAGGCGAAGAGTCACGGGACGCAACAGAGTTTAAAAATGTCGTATGAGACGTTTCATACAAAGATTGAAATAAAATAGGTCGAAATGGTTGCACTCTTCAACAACTCGCATTCGCTCATATGGTGCTAGATTGTCACATCAGCAACAAAAGTCGGCTTGCACGCATGACAGCAGCAAGCTAGGAAATGCGAAGGATAGAAGAAGCCATCATGACAACTTGCAAGACCGGTATCGGAAAAGTGATTATAAATGTAATCTCCCTCGATCGAGATAAAACCGTTGTGCAGAGTTCTAAGAATATTTGAGAATGACAATTTGCTGGCAGAAAGAATGCAAAAGATGAGGTCGTTCAAATGAAGAATGATCATAAGTTTTTGGAAATTTTTGAAGATAGTGACGAGGTGATTGCTGAGGAGAGGCCTTAGAAGTTTTGTGACCTCAGCATTTTATAATTTCCGTATAGTACTTTCATTTGGTGTACAACAAGGTAGTGGTGAAGAGGCCGTGAGACTTGAATATGATATCGTGGA